ACACGGCGACTGGGCCTATGGGTAGTATTTTAGCAACCAATGGAACATTTTCAGGCTACCTCAACAAGCAAGAGATCAGCTTTTCAAATAGCTCTTCCTACTTAAAGACTACCACAGTTAGATCTTCCATGTCCTCCCAGTCTGTGACTCCTGACATTTCACCTGCAAAGAGTAACCTAGGTTCAAACCTAAGCCCTGTACTGACTGATGGCAGTAGTCCTACACAGCAGCTGAGCCCTGCAAGGCAGTATAACAACCCTATTGGCCTTTACTCAGCAGAGACTCTAAGGGAAATAGCTGAGATGCATAAATTCAGTCTCAACCGAAGGGCTTCAGAAGGTGGACTTCCTAGAGGGTAGGTAAAAGAATTAATATTTCAGTAAGTAATGAATTTGGTGAAAAATGAATGTGCTAGTACCTACCCTATTGTGCATTTGTCTGATAATCACGATTAAGGTCTGGAACAACCATGAACTTTTCCAGTACCCCCCAAAGCATATGCACAGCACCATTACAGAATAACTCTTGGTCTTTGGTATCTGAATTGCAGTAGTGATGGGCAGTAGTCACCAGAGCATGAGGGGGGACACTGTGACTGAAGTAACCGTCAGCATCACAAGGTTCTGGCGTTGACGCGTTGCACCAAATGCGTGTAGTGGTCTCATGGAACCAAGTACCACTGTCAGCCATTGTAGAAGCTGCTATAGAACAGATCTGATCTTTGGTGCTTTCCTAAAGAGAAGTTGCTTTGACCAGCAAATCTGACATGCTAGTCTACTGGAATGTCCCACTATAATTCCTGCCTTAAGGTATTGGCTTTCCGATGCAAAATGAGTCCAAACTGCAGTATTTTGAATCCTCTGGTTTGAACATTCTCTCTCTCACATCTGTCAGCTTTGTACTTACTTGTGTGTCACAAGGAATGATCTTTAGATACTACCCAGATAGTTTGATCTTATGCTGTCAAGGTTTTCAGTGTTATATTGCAGATCAACTGTTTCATTAGGAGGTTTTTGAAATGAGGAGCTTGGACTACAAAACATGGGAAAGAGCAATGAGAAACAGGTTTTCCTATACTTTTTCCCTTCGTGTATTAATTTGCAACCAAATCTCTACTTTGTTTATTTCTGTTTATTTAAAATTAAGATAAATTTTGTATTATGAATATGAAAGAAGTGCACTTTCACCACTAGAGACTTGGCTATATGAGAAAAGCCAGAAAATTCAGACAAACCAATTGGGGTCTGGTAGCAACTGCATATTTTCAAGTACTTTATATCCCATTGCAGATGGTCTTTACAAGAGTAAAAGCAAGGGATTTTAAGTTGTAGCAAAGTAAGGATATTTTATCCTTATAAAGGAGAATATATACATGTTCTAGATAATTCAAGCAGTTTAGATGATTCATTATAACTCTCTTGAGAACTTGGCATTAACAATTCTAATTAACTTCTCTAAAAAAATCCTATCCTTCCTTCACATACAAGATAATTAAAAAAGGCAATTACTATTTAAAAGAAAATTATTTCAGTTAGTAAGCAAGATCAGCAAAATAAACCTCAAAATGCTTCTCTCTTAATTTACTATTTTCTTGAGGAAAACTTATCCTTGTCTTATTTCAATATGCATAGTTTCCTGGGAGTATATCTCACTGCCTTATTTCAATATGCACAGTTTCCTGGGAGTATATCTCACTGCCTTTCTGCCACTGTCTTTACAACCCTCCTTAACATCTGCAAAGGTGAGGGTGAAGGGGTTGTCTTTTGGATGGCTCAGCATTCTGACTCTTTCTTTGTTATCAAAATTACAATGCAGGTGCATCCATCACTCATGGAAGTCAATGTGAATCATTTTATCAATTCCAGAGGTCACTGCGATAGGACTACATAATATGACAGTGATTGCTGGGGTGCAAAAAAGGTGTACCTGCAGAGAACACTTCATTGTCTTCACTCTGCTGCTTCTCCATGTTTTATATTTCTTTTGTGTGTAAATATGTTAGTGCATGCCTGTGGCAGTGCACTGAATTGCAAAGCAAGGTTCTACTTTAGAACAATCACTTAGGGGTGGCTTTCTTTTTTTTAGTTTTAACAAAATTTTAGGGTCTTGGTTTCTATCTGCCTGTAATATCTTTAGCACTGGTGAACAAATAAGAAAATTTATGAGAAATCATCTAAATGTTCTGTTAAAAAAAGTTCAGCCTTCATCCTGCATCCCAGGAACAATCTTAAAAGGTGAAAGATCTCAAAGTACCTGTGCCTTTTCATCTGATTTCTGTGAGATTTACAGAATTGTACATCTCTATTTACGCACAGAGAAAAATCAGAGTTCAGTAATCCTGTCATTCCTACTCCCACTTGAGTGTTACCCATGAAGTGACAGACATCTTTCCTACTGCTCTGTGGAGAGTAACATGGAACCTGTAGCTACCTTGGGACTTGGTGTCAATCTCATTGTGGACGTAGGTGAAAGAGTGCACAAGGAAAGAACTGTGAGCACTGCTAAATCAGCTCTGGACTTTGTTGTGGACGTTCTTATCATATAGTAGAACATAGGATGTTGCATAAAGATTGTGAAATTATGGTGCTCGGAAACGGAATATTCTGCAATCAAGCATTCACAAACATTGTGAACGCAATCAAGCATTCACAAACACACACAGCACTACAGTAAAGGGTGTAAGAAAGTTCAAGTTGGGGGTTGATCTTTAAGGTATATTTCATATTTCAGTTTGATGTCCTTTTCACCAAAGCATTAAAGGTAATTGTGTGAATTGCAGTTAGAGGCTTAGCTAAACGCCTTGAAAAATCCCACCAAAAAGCTAAAATTAATTTTTAGATTATTTCCTTGGTCTGTGAAGAATAACAAAGCATCTCTTTCTCTGATACACTTTTACATTAAAGCTTTCTCAACCTGGACCAGGGTGCAAAATATAGTTGGCCTCCTGAGTGTGGAACTTACTGTGCTGAAAGCTCCAGGAACGGGAGTGTTAGTGAATATGAAGAGAGAGTCGTAGCTCATAACTTGCAGTTCCTTTCATTCCTCTGTAAGTTATTTTTCACATTGTAGGTTCAAGGGCAGTGCATACCTGTCCCACACATACATGCCAGGTGGCTTGGGTTGCTAGTCTTTTAGTGTGTGACCTCTGTGAGCAGCAAGCTTGGAGTTTCATATCTGTCCATATTTAGGATCAAGCCTAACTAATGTGTGGCTCTAAACTGGAGAGAATTTTCTCCTCACATACTAAACATAAGTAGAAGTGAAGCCTTACTCTCTCTGAAGGAAGCTGTAGCCTCTTCACATCTAAGAATTCTTTGCTGACATGTGGCTGTTGAGCTGTTCTTAGTATGTGCACATAATGATTTTTATCTTTGAACATATTTTTATATGCAAACAAGTGGTTCCTCTCATTAAGGTGTATTTTAGGGATGGTAGTTCTGCCTTTAAAATATTATTTTATGTGCAAGGCAGAAGCCTGGACTAGAAGATTAAAGCAGGCCTCAGAGTCCACTTTAGAAAATGATATTATTACACTGTTTCATTGCAAATGAGTGCCCAGCTGTCCTGCACATACCTAAAATGGAGATAGGATCCCTGATGTGCTTACAGGCTACGGTGTGTTCCTAATATAGCTTTACTGGTTCCTGTAACAGACTGATATATTTGGCTTAATGCAGGGCTTATAAAGATAGAAGAGTATTCTCGAATCCCAGAGCATAGAGAACAGTAACTGCAGAAGGAGATCTGGGATTGCTTTGCCATGGAAATGCTGAAGTGCAAAGGCTTTACTGCAGCTTTGGCTTATTAGAGTGTTTTTGATCATGAAAAAGACACTTGCAAAAGGCACATGAAAAAGGTCAATGCAAAAGGACTGTACACAAAGAGAAACAGTAATATCAAAGGTCCTGCAAGACAAAAGCAGGAGACAAATCCACTGTGAATGTCACTCTTAACAGTGTTACGTTGCCATCCAGCATTCTGTATTGATTCCAGATCCAGAAATGTTACAGCAGCAAGTTGGAAGGTTCAGTGCCCGGTTCTGTCAACAGCATTCTGTGCAGCTAAATAAGAAATGTTTATAAACTGATCCTGGACTCTCTTCCTTTCTATTTTGCACAAAATATGATGAAATCTCTTCACTCAAAAATATAAGAGCAAAATAGAGGTGTTCTAAATCCTGTTTCTCTGGGATTACTGTGCAGGCCGCCATCACTTCTTGTTTATGCAGAGAGGCAGGGTGTAGCATGAACATATGTTTTTTCATGCTGTATATGTACCAGATGGAATAAAATATCCTGATATGGATAGCCAAAAAAATCACATAGTGCATGGACTTTATTCCTTTCATGTGGAATAAATTACAAGTGACTATTCTGAAATTAATCAGCTTACACCACTGTTGGCATAATGTAGATAAAGTCAGATTTAGGCCAGTAGTTTGTTAGCTATAAAGGCATTTTCCTTAGTTTTATGTTGAAAACATCTACCAATATATTCTTTGGATATTCTCTGGCATGTAAAAGACCAAAAAGTCAATCTTGCAATACCATCTCTGAGGGCGGCTTGAGGAGAACAGATTTCATGCTGAATATTTAGTATCTAAGGGAAGAATAGAATCCCTACCACTCATTTGTTATTTTCAGATGAGAATATGCTTTGCAAATGCTTCTTTCTTCCCTCTGCTCCATCCCTCTGCACTTTGATAATAGTACGTTTAGGGATTCATTCAGAGCAATAAAACCACATTCAAGGGTCAGCCAAGGTGCCATAGTACCCTACTAAATCCTAGTGGATCAACTATAATCTCTACATTTTCTCCTTTCTTAATCACATTGGGGTTTTCAGGCATATATTTACTTTTTGTTTTGATTTGTAGATGGCCTGTAAAAAAAGTGTTAGTAAGCTTTTGTAAGTACCTTTTGCCCTTTGCACTCTGAAAGCTATTGACTATTTCTGTTTGGTTGGTTTTGATGTTGTTTGTTCTCTTTCTCCTCTTTTAGGTCGTAACCAACACGGCTGCCAAGTTAGTACCATTTCTGTGTAGTGCCAAGTATTTTTGTTACGCTCTATGTGTGAAGATCTGTTTTCTGGGGTAGCATGATCCCCTGTGTTCCTGCTGTGTCTGTTTGCAAGTGGAAGTACTTTTAAAAGGATCTTACTGGTATGGCAAGTGCCATGGGCTGCCAGTGGTGTCCAGTGGTGCTCCTGCCTAAACACTCCATGTGTTCAGCATTTCGTGGTCATGTTTTAATGCTGCAAATGAGCTTCTGAGCTTGCTCAGTTCTTGCAAATGCTTTCAGTTTTTTTTTCTCTATATAGTTTGGGATTAATTTCTCCTAACTCTTTAAGTAGTCTTCATACCTTCAGGATTTGAGAAGCCTTATCTGAGCCTTTTTTGGTGTATTACTAGTGATGTATTTTTAGCCTCAGCAATAAATTGGAGATACTGATGTGGGAAAGATCTAACAAGTAATTTACCTTAGTAAACATACTACCCCAACAATAAGCAACTGTTGATTTGTAAATATGATTGATCTGCTTTGCTTAGGAAAGTTCACAGAGTCCTCAGCTTTGATCTTTAGTTTTCTAAGGGCAGAGGATTGTCTCTAAATTCCCAGTTTTGTCTCTGAATCGAATGTTGTCCAGAAATTGCTGGAGAGACAGTTAAATTCAGCATAAAATAATTATATGAGTTCAAATGTCAAATTTAAACTGACAAGAGAATATAAGAAGTAGTAGAATACATAAAGTTGAAATCATATTTAATGCATAACATTTCCCCTGATTTGGCATTCTCTGTTTTTAATGAGATATGGGTGTGATGTCATGCCAATGATATAACTCCTTTGGAGTGATAAAACTCTAACCAATTTACATTGACAATTATTCTCTTACTTGGAAAGCAGAAGTCACATCGTAGAGGTGTTTTTAATCTTCCTTGCCTTGGTTTTTATTTTTCCTGATCCTTTCCTAGCTTGGTAGAAAAATTACTCTAATTTTGCAGAGGTGCCACAGCTGTCTCTAGGGCCTCATCTCTGCCACTTTGTCCTAGATCACAGCACCACTTACAAGCACTAATATCTTCTGTTGCTTCTAGAGTTATAAAGAGAACTGCAGATGAAAATCTGCACCCTTTTCTGTTATTTTTGTGGGAATCCTGATAACTTCAGTGAAAGTTTTGCCTTGCTATATGACTAAAAACTCTTGAAAGACATCACTGAAACTGTTCAAATGCCACAAGTGAAAGCCTACATGCATTAGGGAAGGTTAGGCCAAGATCACCAGCTTTTATTTCTGTGACTGTGAAAATCACTTGCTTTGAACTTTACTCTTCAAAAGTGACATATTTAACCTGTCTTTTCATTTGCACCATCTTGTAATGACCATGACCTAATTATCATGGGATTGTTCAGGGTATTACAAGATACAAATCATTGTAACTTAATAAAAGAATATTGTTAACGTAAGGCATCTGCATGCTGGAAAGTGAAGAGTATAATGACCTGCACCCCTCTGCACTTCACATTTTAACAGATGTTGTCAGTATGATAATAATAATATTGTCATAGTTGATGAACAGTTAATGGTGAGACATTTTAAATGTGGAAATGTCTTTGTAAAAAGATGATTTTCACTTTCTGAATGCATAATGCAGCTTCCCAGTTCCCTCCCTTACAAATGTTGATGTCTGTCACTAATGGCTATGGCTGGAAAACAGCATGTGCATGTGTATGTCTCTGTTCTTTGAGCATGTGGCTGTTAATGTTCTACCAAGTATTTGGAATTTTGTGTGACTGTAGCTCTCTTACTGTCCATCTTCAATCAGGGCATCCCACCAAAAAATAAACAAAAATAAGGCTGCAAACATAGTGCAATCCCCTGGCTGGGTTCAGAGATGGCACATCACCTTTGATAGTCTCTGGACAATTAGGTCAGATGACTGTCAGCTTGACTTGATTTTCCTTTTTCCCCCATGCCAGGCTGAGGGTTCGAGTTTGACATCCAAACACTCTCTGTGGCCAAGCCACAGCACACTTTCTGTCCCTTGCCAGCCAAAGAATCTGTTGTTCAGTCCCATGAAAAAATGCAGCAAAATGATTAATATTAGCTGATAAATTTATGGTGTGGTGGTTTCAAGCTGGAAATGAAAATTGTTCCAATCAAACGGGATTACATTTTTCAGAATTTCTTTTTGCTAGGCAATAGATCCATTTTCAGCCTTCAGGCTCAGTTCAGAATGAAACCTTTGTGAAATATCACTTCTTTCCCAAAGGACAGAATTCTCTGTTTTGCCCAGTTTGGTGAGTGTACGGTTTCTATACTGCTGGCATCTTCCTGCTACTGGGAGGACAGGAACAGCAGACTAGAGATCCATCTGATCTCCCACAGGTTAGAGAAGAGCAGCTACTTCAGTGACTGACAGCTGAAGTTTAGCTTGGCCACTGAATCTCAAGTCCTAACTCTAGGACTAGAATGATGCCCAGTGAAGGGCTACAAGGAAGCCAGGCGCTCTTCAGCTGAAGTCCAACATTAAACTGACTCCCTCTTGCAACGAGAGCTTCAGTTAACTTGCTTCTGGCTCAGTTTCTCAGATAAAAATCCATCCTCAATAAGCAGAGCCACTGAAAAACCTGGAAGCTATTCTTCCAACTGCAGTTGTCCCATTGATTACTGTGTGGGATATTTTGATCTGAGGCTGAGCATTTATAATGCTATAGGAACACTTATGGCTGGCAGTAGAGAGATTTTGGGAATATTCATTCAGCCTTTGTGAGGAAAGCTTTGAAAATTAAAAGACGCAAGTACTAAATTTCACTGGTTAATAATCCAGACAGAAAGTGTTGGAACCTTCTAAATAACAGAGGACCTGACATCTGTTCACCACATTGCACTTTTATGCTATTTTATAAGACCCCTCTGAAAGAACAAATGGATGCAGTGAATAAACTGGGAATTCTCTGCAGTCTGTGTGTACATCCATAGGCATGCATATATACATAGGTGTGTGTATGTTTGTATACGCTTCTATGTATATATGCACGCAAGAGTAGAATTTTAATATATAAGTATCACATAAGTACTTAGGGATTTGTCATGATTTTTTATACAATGACAACTTTTGAACCTTTCTTTCTTTCTATACATCTGTGAGCCAAGAAAAAATGACATCCATTAGTGCCACCAGCTTTTAACTGTTGCTTGTTACTTACGTTGTCTCTTATGGTCTGACTGGAAGCTTCTGTGGTGAGATGCCATGAACAGACATGCACGCCCTTCTGTTGGCACTTCTTCTCTCACCTAACTATCATGCCTTTCTCCTTTCTTCCCTTCCTTTCCTTGTCAAACCTCACTCTTGCATAACTCAGCAAGGAGTTCACGGAGCGTTTCAACCCCAATGTCCTGAAGGACTCTGCCCTGTCTACACACAAACCCATTGAGGTGAAAGGCTTGGGCGGCAAGGCTACTATAATTCACGCCCAGTATAACACCCCGATCAGCATGTATTCCCAGGATGCTATCATGGATGCAATTGCAGGCCAGGCACAAGCCCAGGGTGGAGAATTTGCTAGGTAAGGTTGTTTCCTTGTGTGGAATGCTCTTTCTCTGCATGATACAGCTAACAGCCCCTCCATGCATGACACGGCAGCTCTTCCTGGACCTTTTTCTGGGGTATCTTATACCTGAAAAATACAAATCAGTTCTAGGCAGTGTTAAAAAACACTGCATTGTTTTGAAGTTAAAAGGATGAATAGTTAGAAAAAGTAACTTTTCTCTTTTTTTTGGTATTCTTCCTAAACCTGGCAAACCCCACTAAACTATGTGGTGCTCTGTGACATTGGATTGCTTTTCATTCATGATGACCATGCTTTGTAATAACCACTGCATTATACACATACCTCAGAACAGGAAAGGTGGGGGTGGAATTTGTATTGATATGAGAAGAATACAAAATATTTACTTAGCACTGGCTTTAAAGGCTTTATTTTTCAGAATGGAGTGTTGTGCTGTATTATCCCTATCCCTCATTTACATACAGTGTATGTCTTATGCATATCCTGTGCACTATGGCAAAATCCTTTGATCTTTAATAATTCTGCTTTTCCAATACATGTTTATGGTAATTGAAGCTGAGAAATTTATCCACAAGTATTATGATTTAACTGAAATCACATGTATAATGAACAGATCCAGGTTTCTCTTGTTCTATTGTTCTACCCCACATAGAACTTCTTTTCAGGTGACACCAGAACACAGGAATAGCAACACTCTTTACATAGTTGCTTTTCAAGCCTAGCTGCAGGCTTATTTAAAATGTAGATGGTTTATATTTGTTTGTGTTTCCTTTGACTGGCCATTTATTTTTCCCCTTTTTAAATTATTTTTTTCCCCACTAGGTTTTTGCACCAATAGTATTCTGTTGTTCATAACAACTCTTCCTCATGCTAGATCCCAAACAATACCTGTAGTTGATTTTGACCATGACTTGGTCATGGGCCTAAGTAGGCTCATATTTCCAATTAGCAAAGTACAATGAAAGAAATTCATTTTACCTGTTTTTTTTTTATAATGGTTCACATCACTCATAGGCATGGACTGTATGAGACATTCTATGATATACTGGAATTTTCTACTAAATGCTCTAACATTATATAATGCAAATAGTAATGTTTAAAAGTGTTACCTGTTTAAATGACCAGATGATTATAAAGTTTCACTGCTGAGCACATGGATCCTTTTCATTTTATAAACGGCCTATTAAAAGTATCTATCAAATGCAGTTCCTATCACAGGAGTGGCTCTGCCAAACTGGAAAACACCATCATCTTTTCCCACCTGTGGAAGAGATCAAAACAGTTCTGTGGGGAGAGGAAGATGCCCTTTCTAGAAAATCCCAGATAGGGTGAGAGAAGTCAGAGTATATCTGGAACTGGAAGATCAGCACACTTCCCAGGCTGGTTAGGGATTTGTCTTAAGACATGGAATTGTGAAGTAAAGAATCTGAATAATCAGAGAGGCTTGGACTGTAAATAATAAGATGGTAATGAATTATATTAGTATGCACACATAATCTTGAAAAGAGCCAAATTCAAGGATATGTAGACAAAAAATAAAAAGCTGGATTTTCATGGCCTGTTGAGTTGTTGCACCAGTAGCAGCAAGGGTCATGTTTATGCCACTAGCAGAAGCTCCATTCTTTTTTTTTTTTCTTATTTTGAACATAGAATCCACCTACTGCATGGGTGGATTTGAAATGAGATTATTATTTCCATTAATCCTTTTGTCTCAGACAGTTCTATCAGAACATTATTCTTTGCAGACAACTCCATGACTATCTTCTCCCTTATAATGTTGGAAAAAAAAAAGCTTTTTTTTTTTAATGCAAGATCCACTATATAAATTATGGTTTAAGCTTTTCCTTCATTTTGGAATGTGATGCCTAAGCCTAACGTTCACCTGGCTCCTGAAGAAACTGATGTTTCTATTCCTGGGTGCAGTCAGGTGCCAGGGTCTCCCTAAATCTACTGTGCTGTGAGCTCCAGCCTGGTCTGTAACTTCTTTTTGTTTAACTTGTAACACTTGGTGACAAAACAATTTCCTCAGGAGGTTGTTTTATTACAATGAACACAGCACTTTTATTTTAGATAAAATAGAAAGGTTTGTGCTAAACAGTGCCCTACCCATTGACTGATATTCATTCAATGAAACCTGTAAATCATTTCCTGAAGGTGTTGCTCTGACCACTGTGGTATTCTGAACTTTGCAGTGAAAACTGAGGATGATCTTTAGTTTGCTTAGGTGATAAAGTCCGAGATAAGATTATGCTTAGTGCAGAAATATTTGTATGAGAAGTCTGTCATACAAAAGCAGACCAAATTGTGTACTGATTTATTTGTCTCAATGCTTTACCTATAATTTGACCTCAGCACTTAATTACTCTTCTTTGGCCTTTTCATTCTACATTTGAGATAAGCCCTGAAACCACAAGGTGTATGTAAGATGGTAACTATACTCAGACTGCTGATCTGAAGTGCTTCTGGTTTTTTTGGCAGAGTATAGCTGGAAACACTGCTTACTTCTTTTATCAGTAATGAAGAATAGACAGGCTTAAGATAAGAATTCATGTTCTAGTTTGACCATTTGAAATCGGTAATGTAATCAGTAAACTTAAGCCAGTGAGATCAAAATCAGATTCATGTCCCTTAGAAAATAACCCACATGTACTGGATTCTATGGAGGACAAAAAGGAAAGCATATAAATCATACTGTAGCTATTCAGATCTCATGCTGGAACTTAAAGCTGGAAAAATTTGAATGCCCTAATTTCATATCTTTTCTCATTTATGTTGCTGTAATTGATTTTGCTACACCAAGAACCAAGAGTTGTTCGCAGTAAAACCATGTGGTCAGTGCATTTCAAGCATAATTCTGTCAAACCTCTTCTAAATTCCATTAAGCAGTATTAGCCACATTCACAAGTCATGTAAGCAGACATAAATCCGACAAGTTGACCAGGATTAAGGTCTAACACTGATTCCTAATTAATTAAATTAATTAAATTAAGGTCTAATACTGATTCCTAGTAGCAGAATCAGTAATGTGGTTGTACAAACTGAAGTCTTGTGTATCCTCTTCAAAAAGTCAGCTTGGCTGGATAATTTAACAGTCTGCATGAACTGTTTGTTGGGTTGTTAATTTCGACAAGTTTACCAGGATTAAGGTCTAACAGTCCTAGTAGCAGAATCAGTAATGTGGTTGTACAAACTGAAGTCTTGTGTATCCTCTTCAAAAAGTCAGCTTGGCTGGATAATTTACCAGTCTGCATGAACTGTTTGTTGGGTTGTTAATTTTTTTACCTCTTGAGCTTTTTTTAAAATAGTTGGAACCCATCTAATATCTGAAGTCACAATAATTCATTGTATGTCTACATCAGGGGGAGAATGCTGCAGTGTTACTAAGTTTTTACTTATTAACTACTTAAATTAAATCTAATTACTCCAAGGAGTGATTCACATGGTAAACATAGTATATAAGGAACTCCAAGAAAAATCACATTGCTACTTATTCAAAGAGGTCTGACTGTTTGAAGCTTCTTTTAATGTTAATAATGTGTGATTTGCTTGGTGATGTGAATAAGGGGGGCAATATTTTTATTGAATCCTACTAAAATACCTTAGGCTGTACTATGAATACCCTCAAACGTTCTCACCCATTTGGGAAGAATTTTTTTTTCCAGTAACATCACTTGAAAGTAATATGCTTAAAGATGCATGATATTTCTGTGCATACACACCCAGATGGGAAAAAATCAAATTATGAAGAGGTATAACAGAGGTATTAACGTGGTTATGTGGATCTTTAGGCCGTCTGTAAGAACCAACTGTCACATTTAGGTTTATGAAATGCTTATAATCAGCGATGTGCTCTATTTTACACTTCCATGCTGGGTGGCTCATGTCCTAGTTAATCATCTAAAATATAATTATGAGTTTAAAAAAAGAAAAAGCCCTGCTGTATTAAAGACAGAGTTGGAAATATGCCAGTGTATTGCATTAATTTAGTTCAATTTATATGAGCGTGTTTCACTCTGCTAGGGAAGGTTAATTCATCAAGCTCCATTTCCTGCCCTAATCATCTGCCATAAGGATATTAATATGTCAGATTAATGCCACACATCGCTACTGTGAAGTTTGTGGTCCAGCCTCTAGCACTTTTTAACTACCTTTGAGCTAATGGCATAGCTCTACACATACTTTCAAACTGCTTTTTTTGTATATTGGTCATTATACAAGAACAAAGCATTTCAGAGCTGGAGGATTTAAAGAAAGGAATTTGAACTGTCTGTGACTTGCACCCAGTGCTGTTTCCACAGTGGCCTGTGGCTGAAATCAGCAGTGCTGGCTCCCCAGCAGTTTTTTATCCCCAGCAGTCTGCACCTGTGACTTTCACAGATTTTTAAGCTTCAGCATGATTAAAAAGTAAGTCTGGGGATATCAAGTTCACTGCTGGCCGAAACCAGGCAGTCACCTATGACAGTAATACAGCACAAGGTACCGTGTGCTTAGCCACAACCAAGACATAGGTCTGAAGTGCCTCTGGGAACTTGAAAACTGGGTCACCTTTTTGGGAACTTTAACTGGACTTTTTACAGTGACAGAACTTTTCAGTGTAGCCAGGAGTGAGGAGCAGCAGCAGAATGGTCACAAGGGGGTTGCTGACTTCGTTTTGGTATTAACAGAGTATCTCTGCTCCATATAAAAACTATTTCTGCACAAAGTCAGCAGGAGGCAGAGCTCTCTACTGCCACTTGCTTCCCTGCCTCAGCAAGTCCTTCTGCCATGTACGAAGGGCCAGAAGAGGAAGACTGCTGTTCTCTCTCCCATCTTCCATCTGAAGAAGGACATGGCACTGGTTTGTCCACTGGTGGACACAGGAGCCACACTAGTAGAAGCTACTGATGGCACACCCTTCCCAAAATAAACAAGTCCACATTACACCTTCCATACCTGCTAGTGTTTAGATATTTTAAAGATAGTGGTCTAGGAAACATGAGCCAAAAACGGAGCTGGAAAATGCTGCTTCCTCCAACAGGACATCTTCCATGATAAGAGACCTTTTTACACAACATTTAAGTTTTGTGACAAAGCTTAAACTGAAGAGTTGGAGTTCTTTTCCTAAGCTATGCTCCATCACAGAGATGATTGTGCTGAGACATATAAAAGAAATATAACTGGGCTTTGTATGCTGCTGAATCCTCAAGGAAGTGAGAAGTTTGTATATAGTGGGGGTTGTGAGGAACATAAATAGTTCTCTAATAAAAGAAAATCCTGAAGAGAGGAGGTGCTTTTGGGTCCATAGCATATAAAAACACACATCATATCTCTAAGTCCCTTGCATTTTTTTTTGAAGAATACATCCCAAGCTATATAATGCTATTTAAAGCACTACCTAGTAATATTTTTTATTACAGTGTATGTGACTGCAGGATATCAGATGTGCTTCTTGGCTTTTTCATGATTCCTTTCAGGCTTTCAAATCACCAACAAAACTTCTCTGTAGATATTCTCTGCACAACGGTATCTTAGAGAACACAAACTTTGAGCCTGAACCAAGGAAGCCACTTTTATAGAAGGTGCCTGCTCCCAGAACTTTATAGCAGTGACTTGGACCAAATGGCCCTTAACTTTTAACAGAGCCATTTCTCAATTTTCATGCAGTTGAGCATGTTGCTTGCAAAGCTCTATATGGAATAGAGTGTTAAAGCTGTTACAATAAATCACTTGCTTCAAAAATAGACCTTGTATTTAAAGAAGTCATGGAGCCAAGTGACTCCAAGCACACATCATCCCCTCAGTGTATATTTCTGCAGCTCTGTTAATATTTAATTTTAACTGTATGCTATGCAGAACTTATTTTTGCAGGGGGAGTGGAGGGAAGCTATTAAGTTACTAGGTCTGTTTCTAGCTCACATCATAAATTAAAGAGAGGTTACCTCAATTGTGCTACAGAGCTTCATCTTTAGGTGTGCAAAATTGGAAGATTATTCCTGGGTACATCACTTTGCAAGGTGATTAGAGATGTCGTAAGACTCAGATACATTCTGCTGTTAAAGATTTCAGATACAAAATATGTATACAAATCTTCAGTGCACATATTATTCTAATCAACGTAAGCCTGTGGCTGGCTTGGCTGAGGAATCGTGAACAGATATTTCCAAGTGTTTTCATACTATTTTGAATATGCAGATTTGAATGGTAACAGGCCATTTCAAAGATACAATGAGCCATAACATTCTTAATTCACTTAAAATTGATTTATGTATATTTTAAGTGATATTTTCAAAGCCATGTTTTGGATTGCTGGTTTTTTTTTTCTGAATGAGAAGCAATAAAGCCAGAGAGAGGTTGGGATGGAAGCTCCCATGTGCTGTTTCACAACATCTCACTTTCTGAATTGCAGTACCCTCCCTATTAAAGATCCTCATGTAGACAGTGCCTCTCCAGTCTATCAGGCCGTGCTTAAAACTCAGAACAAGCCTGAGGACGAAGCCGAAGACTGGACTCGCCGTTCTGCCAACCTCCAGTCGAAGTCCTTCCGCATCCTGGCCCAGATGACTGGAACGGAGTACAGTAAGTCAAAGAACAACACATCCCCCTCACCTGGATTTTAAATTCAGGTCTTTATTTTCTTCCCCCAGGATTAGCAACTGATAGTCAAGGAAGATTCATGTCCAGGTTTGTAGGCGTTGTCAGTGAGGGCTAAGATCACAAGACACTGGGTGTAACTTGAGGGAACTAGGAAATCAAAAGTGTTCAGTCTCACCTTACACTTTATGAAGCAAATTCTTTGATCTGCCAGGGGTCTCACTACAAAAGTATGACAGACTATACAGTAAAACAGTGATTTTGACCTCATAGTTCTTACAAATCAAATCTCTGCAGTGTAATCTTTCATTTTTCCAGCAGTCTAGGCATGCAAAGCTGCCCATTCATTAGAAAAAAAAAAGATAAACAAAGATATGTCTCTTGTAACAGTCTTTTATAGAAGTGACTTCAGGAGGTCAAAAAAAGCCTCATGGATTACCATTTTTCTTGCACTTATGGTTCTATCAGCCCAGTTATCTAAGCCTAGATCTGCTATGGATAGCATGGCAACTGGAACTTTGTTGCTTGTTGCCTATGGAGATGTTTTTCTGACCACCTGATACTAACTTCAAACCTTGTTTCTGGTCTAGAATGAAGGAAGCTCAGGAACTTCTTCCACATCAGGGGGAAAATATGTAGTATTTCCTCCTCATATGAATCTACTACTGCTTCTCATGCTTTCCTATAGAACAGCAGGTCCTCTCTGTAGAATCTTTGCCTAAAGCTGTGAGACACTGCTAATAAATTAATGAGAAAGTAATTGTAATGGCTACTTTCCTACTAACGTTCTCGTTCTTAGCTCAAGGGAAGTGCTCCTCTTCATGCTGTTCTTATAAAACCCACTGCTGCAAAGGCAGCATAAATTCACCTTTAGGTAGGCTTTTAATACATTTCTGAAGAACTTATAATTTTGTTATAAAGCAAATTCTTCTTTTTCTTTCTTTTTTAACGGAAACATTTTTTTGCCTGCAGTGCAAGATCCAGATGAAGAAGCCCTGAGGAGGTCAAGGTAGGCAACTCCTTGTGAAAAATACAGCTTTCTCCTTACTGATAACCAAATAATGATCTAAAACAGCATTAATATGAACCTACGTTATTACCTTTTTGCCTTAAAATACTCAAATACGTTTACTAAATCACTAACACTAAAATGCTAGCGTTGAGAAGCATTTGAGTGAAAAGGGTAACAAATTAGCATGGTTTTAGGGAAGACAGTGCAAAATTCTTGAAGGGTGTGTTCAAATCTGAAAGCTCCCTGCACATGGACCTCCCATGTACTTTACTGAGCGTGTGAATGCAACAAGTTCCTAAGACAAATCCCTGTGTAACTACTGGATTGTGTAACTGGATGAAAAATACATAATGTTGTGATAGCACTGAGATTTGTGAGCAATTTATTTGGATGACCCTTTGATCGACATTTTATTATCCTGAAATGATAGAGTGAAGTTGTTTCTGTCCATATCCATAATCATTGGTTTATGATTTGTTTGGAATAAATGCAACCCCAAATTTGTAGAGTATGGATGCACAGGACTGCTTTTGCTAGTGGATAAATGTATTTGTTTCATATAATCTACCAAAAACACTGAAAAAAGTGTGTATGTTCAAAGACATAATAAGGAAATAAAGATTTCTCATCATCTTGTGTTCTCCTGCATAGCCAGGAAATAGATTTCTTAGAGATTCTGATGTTATGCTTAAAAACTGCAGCTGGCTCAGAGCATCCTGCATGCAAGCCTGGTTTTCTGTATCACGTTAGCTACTCTGAGCTGCTGGATGGGTTTATGATGTGTTTGATACTCTATCCACCTTGACTTCTTTTTCTTTTCTTTTTTTTTTTTACTGCCATGAGGCTTCTGTAAAGGTTCTGAGCTTTTGATCACAGTGCAAGTTACAAATGTTGAATCAGTGAGAAAGATGTCTGTCATCTTCTCTGTGAAAACACAGAGAATAATTCATAATTTCAGTTTATGTTTGCTATAAACCTACCATTGCAGTTCACCAAAGTTCATGGCTTGGTGCCTGAACATCAGGCTTGACATTACATCCCTTGGGGATTTATTTCTTCCCTCAAATGTGCAAGCCTAATTCTTATTAAATACATTGTACATGATCTGTTTTGATGTAATAGCGCGTATCCAAATCCTTCTTATGATGGGATTTAAAGCATTGTGCTCAGCTTAACAGTGCCCCATACACATCTGAGAGTAATATCTTTTAAAGAAATAATCTTTCTGGCTTTGGAAAATACTAGATATTGGAAACTTAGATAGTATAAGATATGTTGAAAATAATTACCTAGCAACACATCAACATGCGTAAACTGCACATTCCATTCAGTGTAACTTAAAGTACATTACTATATCTACTGTGCTTTGCACATTTTTTTCAGTTTTAAGGTGTCACTGTGGTTTGTTCGTTTGGTTTTTTTTCCCACAAGGACAGTTATGAGTGTTTTTAGGCACAGGTGTGTTACCTGGAGAGGTGTAAGAGGCAGAAGGGAATATATACTAGATGGTCATACAGGTACGGTACAACTGGCAGGAGCTCTGGAGCAAGGAATGAAATGGTGTCTCCTTCCTACCTGACTCATGGTGTTTGCCCCCTCTTGGTGGCTTGGTACCTACCTCAAACGTTGCACAAACTCCACTGCAGAACTGGTAGCAACAGCCCTGGTTATGCATGCACCCATCACACACTACTCTTTTGGGTCTATCAGACCCCTTCTTTTGGCAAGGCCCCTGCCACGTTTGATTTTGTAAAGGATAGAAGGACCTATGTCAAGTGCACAGAATCGTTGCATTAACTCCACTATTCCAGAACAATAATGGAATAGAAACTCCTCTTCAGTGTACACTCCAGATAGCCTGTACGACCATGAGTTTTTCCATGCTCGCAGTTGGGGATCACCTGGCAGGCTTCCTGGGCTCCCAAAATCTTTCCATGGAATTGTGGTCTTGCCAGAGTCAGTGTTGCATTAATCCCAAGCTGGGCTGGCATTTTGGAAAAGCCCTTCATGTTCCAAAACTTAGACTGACAGGAATGTTACAGTGTCGGGAGTTTGGGTGTCGGGGCATGCTGTGAGCAATCTCTCTGGTGCTTTCTCATGTCTGTGTCAGCTCTTCAGTGTAGTCAGCAAGAACTGCATGAAATGATCAGGTTTCTTCCAAACACTTGAGGGAAAAAAAATACATGTAGCTTATTTTTGGCAGAACTGTTTTACGTAAACATAGTCACTTCTCGATTGCTGCTTCCAACTTCATGGCATATGCTCTGAACAGAACCCATCAAGCTTGGGAATTTCCAGGTGCCAGAATATTCCTTTCAGTTAGTATTAGTGAGTGCATTGCATGTCCGTCCTTCTCTCATGCCACTGCTATCTGGAAGGCACACATAAGATTATAACTTGCTATGAGAACTTTCCATTGCTGTTGTATTTTCCAGAAAGATGGTTTCAATTTCAAGTCAAACAGATGTTTCTGAATACCTCTTCCTTGAATGAAGGGGTATGTCTTCTAAGCAGTAAGGGAGTTTTTAAATTTCATGTGAAACCCACTGTAGCTAGCATGCTCCAATGTCACCTGAAAAAAAATGCCATCGTGAAGTTTCAGCATTTCAGCTACGAATACTTTGTACCTTTTAGCTACTTTGAAGTATAAAAGGTACTTCAAGAAGTCATGCATCAGGACTCCTTTACGAGTGCTAGTTGCATGAGACTGTGTTACCAAGAGCAGAATATTTAGAAATATCAGTGAATTTGTTGGCATTTATTCTGTTTATTGGTTTGTGCCTTTCTTCAGCCTGAGGAGTAAAACCAGCCCTGTCTGTTAATTTCTGTTTGGCTGTTTTCACTCTCAAATTCCAATGCATTAACACAATTGGCTTGTGTTTTGGGTGTAAATAAAGGGGGGTGGGGGAGTTACCTTCTTTGTAAAGAATCAAATATGTTTTGCAAATAACAAGAACATTTTCTTTTCTTTCGATCCTGTTTGATGTACTTGACCTTGACTGTACTCTCATCTCACATACTCCTCTTTCCCCTTCTTATTTACAAAACCTGAATTTAAACTATAGAACATCTAGAAAAGATTAAATCCTGAGAGGTGCTGAACATAGCTTACAACTTGCTTGAGCACCCCAATCTGAAATCAAAGGTTACTAGGATTGTTCACAGGAGATGGCCAATGCTTCACAGGACTGTGCTCTGAAAATCCCATCTTAGTTTGCTTTTTTTGACACAAATGACCAGAAATATTTCTGCAAGTGTGAACCGTTATACTCGCTTATGCTGAGAGAAGCTATAGAAAAGTACTGCTGAAACCTGCAGCTGATGGTCCTTCCAGGAAGGACAGCAGGACATATACAGGCTGGCCTAGGCACTACAGAATGGAAAATGCTTGCATTAATTTTGCTCTTGTATGGAGTTAACTTTCACTGACTGCTCATTTGGGGGGAGGGAGGGAGAAGCTGAGAGAATCTGCTGGCATGAAAACAATGGGATTACACTGCATTTCTAGCAAAAGCAGCCCTGTAATACCAAGCACAAGTGTATCAATATGAAGTTACATAAAATTACTTCTCAGAAAATAATGGCAAAACCTTTCATACATGCTTCAAAAAGGATCACCCAGCCTTCTTTGCACTGATATGAAAGCTGCGGCAAAAATCCAAATAAATTGCCATTGTCCTAGTCATAAGGCAGGGGAGTGGTAGCCATGATCCTTAACCCCTTTCTTTCTCCCCCCTTTCTTTCTTCTCTGTGTGTGTCTCTCTGTCTCTCTCTGTCTCTCTCTCTTTTTCTCTCTCTTTCTTCATGCCACAGGGAAAGGTTTGAAACGGAACGTAACAGCCCACGCTTTGCCAAATTGCGCAACTGGCATCATGGCCTGTCAGCGCAGCTCCTTAACGTTAAAAGTTAAAAGCCCACATTTAGCAGGCAAATACCTGAGACAGAGAATTAGAGTAAAACATTAACTGCTGTCCTGAGTTAGAGCCTAAGAGTGTCATGCACACAGGAAAGACTCACGGCTAGGGCCGCTCTCTGAGTGCCTGCCGTCTGTAGATTTCTTTGTTAGCCCATTATCCTTTTGCTGTCACCAAAAGTAAAACTAATGATACAACCTGGTTCATACTCTTCATTATAAAGTAGATTAGCTTTTGTCCTTTATATATCAAATGCAACTTCAGTATACAGGAAAACATCACTGTTGTACTCTCTTGACTTTAATCCTAGAAGGAAATGAGAGGGAAGTTATTGACAATATTTCTGTAGGAGGAAGAGTAATGAGATTTGTACTGAGTTTTATTGCTGTAAAGATAATAAAGCAGGAGAAAGAAAGCTGAAAAGGAGAACTGATTGAGCCTGACCTAGACTTTGCTAAATGTACAATATACTAAGTTCGCATAGTTGAGTGATGCTGTTTGAAATAACATATTAGAATTGTGAAGTTACATTTCTTCAATATATTATACTGGTAGAAGTCATTTGCCGAAACCGACGCTGTAAGTTTTCTGTTGGAAACCTGAATTTGTCATTCTATGAAAGCTAGAGATAGCTCTGGTTGCTCAGGATCTGTGAGGAAAGGCCATTTTGCTAGAGGTGATTCAGGAGTGAGGGGAATGTATAGTATTACTGATGCACTGAAATTTTTAAAAACATCTTGTAAGTTTTAAGGAACATGTTGCCCATTCTGTATTGCTCTTGCTTTGACCCAATTTTTTTTTCTGTATATAGCAGCATGCTTTATCTGAAATAAAAGGCTTTAAAACTAAAATAATTATGTGCCTGTTTTACACAGTATTTTATTCTGTTTTAAAACAATAACTGCTTCAACTGATTATTAAAAGAAGAACTTTTCTTTACACAATAGGCAATTTGGTCCAAAAGCTTTCCCCTAGAATTCTTACTGACCTTTAAAATACCTGAATTAGGAAAAAAAAAAAAAAAAAAGAGAGAAAACAGGTAAAAGAACAAGAGGAATTAACATATATTGTATTAGGTGTGAATGAAAAAAAAGCATAATTAATAGATGTTAGATGTTTCAACTTGAATAATATGCATTCTCTGGCAATAATTATTAATTCATGTCCATGGCAAAGGCACTTGAGATGTTGCTGGTGCTTAGAATGGGATCTTTTTGTTTCAACGTTACAACAATGCTTTGCTTTTAAGCTTTGTCTGTCAAATAGGGCAAACTTATGCCAGAAGCCCCCAAATATTTCTCTTTTATGCTTGAAGTATACTTAAAGCAATGTCACTTCCCTTTCTAGCTTATGCTCTAATCATTAAATGAAACAAACAAACAAAAAAAGCAACAAAAGCAAACTGTTTGTGGCTTCCATAGAAACAGTTGATGTTAGCACTCAACAATCTGCAGTGGGAGTCCTTAGCATTGCTTAAAGCAAAACTTTCTGGTATTAGAACACTGGTCTCTGCAACAGAAGGGTGACTGGTGCAGCCCTGCGTGCAGCCCTCAAAAATTGTTGGGGTTTGGTTTTGTTTTGGTTTTTATTAACTTCTATAAACTGCACATTAGGTGCCTTTATCTGGTAGCAGTAATTCTGATCAAAGAAATCAGTGCGTGGGATTAGATTGAAACTCCTATGCTTTTTGCTGCTTCCAGACATCTGGAATTTATATCAGCAGTCCATACATCAACAAAGTTCACTCAAACTCCCATTGTTTTTCTGTGTTATAGAAGGAAGGAAAAGCTACTGCTTCTGGAGGATTTTTCATGAATCAACCAAATACTGGAGTATTTAAGGGAAAAAAAAATTTAGCAATCTTATTGAAAAAAAAAAAAGAAGAGTATTTAAGAGTATAAGAGCAACAGTTCCTTTTTAAAATTCATTTCACTTTTCTTCAATAAGTGCCATAGCAATTCAGTAAGAATGCCATTTAATATACAACATTAAGTTATATTTTCCTTATTGGAACACAAACAGATTCTGATCATAACAAGTTATTAGCGCCTGTGGAAAATCAGCATAACTGCATGAAATTAGAGCAACATGTTAACTTTTCCTGAATGTTGCTAAGATCAAACTTTGGTTTATAGTGGGTGAATTTCATTTGCATATGGGAACTTTTTATAGAATTTAAAATATTAATACGCAGTTAACTTTTTACAATAAACATTAAATGTAACAACATAAAAAATATTCTAGTTTTAATTTTCAACTAAATTAAACAGTTTTCTGAATAAGTAATAATACAGTGTTTTCACTTAAATAGGAACTGTGTATCCTTAATGTTTTATGAACATAATGCAGATGCTATTTGTTTCAAATAATCCTAGTGCATGCACTATAATAGAAAAGAAAATGTCTAGATTATATCTCAATGTTTACATTTGTGATTTTTAAAGGTATTTTTAAATAATCAAAAAAGCAGAGTTTGATCAGATATTGAATTAATGCATATGTAATTAAGGAGACCCTTCCCCTTAGCTCTGCTTCAGTGGATTTAATGATAAAAATACAGTGCATATAAACCATAGAACCAGAGAAATAGCTGTAATCCATTTTCCTGGAGGATACAAAACAGGATCTAAATGCTCTCCAAGCTCATAGAATTTCAATTCTTTGTGTAATTACTTAAAAAAAGATAATTGAAATAATCTTCAATAGTTGGTGACTTGTGGAATATTGCAGTGATCAAGACCTTTTATGAAGGTGCTGCCACTAATCCCTACAGCAAGATTGTTTACTAAAGCATATTTCTACTGCTTAGTCCAGTCCTTCTCAAAACAAAATCTCCGAAGTGATGGGCTTTGTTAATTAAACTATTGGCCAAATTTTTCTATCTGCTTTCCTGTTTATATTTAGACTAATAATTCCTTAACTCTTGCTCCTCTAAAATCTGCCCTTATGTTGTCATGGCGATCTTCCAGCCCAGAAAATTAATGTAACAGATCTTTCATATTAAGAAGCCTTGTTTTTCCCTCATAAGGAGGGTGCAGACTTTTTCTGTAAGGTGGAGAAATTGGGCTGAATTAGTCATTCTACTACATCTCATACCTAGAGACTGTAACAGACTTAGGCCTGACAAGAAATCATTAACGGCTTGAAGAAACCACTAGCTTTCTTCTAGCAAAAGGTCAAATCTGGTTTGGTTCTGCCCTATTTTTAGGAAAAATGTCCATTCTTATTTCACTGGGTGTTGCTTCTGATTGACCAACCCCATCTTGCGGTGTTTCTGGACCATTTGCAGAAGTCTGCTCTTTTGCCTAAGAGAATGAGTCTCAGTTAATGACAGTGAGCCTTAAAATAGGTTCCTGATTGAAGACTCGATGAGTCATGTAATTCTTTAAAACAGCACTTATGATAGGCAGGTGTATCTGTTCCACACTGACTATATTCTGAACTGACTGTTCTGCTGAGCAGAGGACAATGGTTGGTGACAATACTGTCTTCCAAATAGCGCCCATGCCAAAAATAAAGTAAAACACAGGATGTGTATAGTGATATTAACCCCCTGCCCTTCCCAATATCGCCAGTAAAGTGTAGTGTTATAAACGTTTAATGAAGATACAGCAGAGCTGATGCCAGTAGGAAATCAAACCCAAAAGGCCTTCCAGGTAAATCTGCTTGTCTGGTTATGACACAGGGAAATGCTCATTTTCTGCTGTGGTGTAAGACCGTTTGATCTAAACTAACCTGTTTCTGATCGCTGCTGCCTTGCCTTCTACTCAAGTGGTCTCTTCCTCACCTCCTGTAGTGCTTAGTCTGGAGCAGAAATACTGACTGCATGCAGTGTGTGCTGGTGGGAAGTGCCTATAGTGTGACTTCAGGAAAGCTGGCATGAGAACTTGACCTCTCTTCCTTTCATGCATGAAAAAAATTACAAAAGGAGAAAGGTTCTGTGGCTCCTTCCCTTGCGTCCCTCCTTTCACACCTTCCTGCTCGGGAGGGAGAGTTAGTTTTTGCTGTGTAATAAATACAGAGTTTGCGTTCTCTTCATTGCGGTTTCTCTCGCATTATGCACAAATGCGTGGAGTGTATCTTCAGGAGCAAGGAAAAAGTATTTCAGGGGCTACATTAGCACTTTAAGAAGTCCAGCCATTGCATATCACACAGCTATCTGAAGCCTTCTTCAAAGGCAGAAGAGGTGACACCAATTTTTCACTTATGCACTTGGGTTCCCACAGAGACTAAGTTGTTTTCACGCTTCTTTAGCAGTGTCTATCATGAGTTTCAGTGACTGGAACTTTCATTATACCCATCAGAAAATATTTGGATACTTGCACAAATTTTAGTTTGGGGAGTTAAAAAGCTATAACTTTGGTATAGCAACATGGTAGTACCAGATAATGACTTTCTTTAATCAATTAGCTTTTAATCAACAGCTTTCTGCAATGTACATGAAAATGAATTGACTAAACTTTATTCTCAAGCACAATAACATTCTTTGTTCAACTGCTGTTTATCAAAGCCATCTGCCACCACCAGGACAAGCTAAGGCACCTTGATCCCCTTCCTTCTCTTGCCAGAATTCACAATTATTAGCATTGCTGACCTGCCTGATTGCCAAAACCTTCCCATCTATATGCTAATGAGACTATCAAAATCCTTTTGTAAGATACCTTATTTTCCCTCAACAGCCCATGAGATAAGTAGACTTCTAGAGGTTCCTTCTACAGGAACATAAGTGCAATAAAGAATAATAGACACATCAATTTAACAAGATCCCCACTTGCCTTTTAGCACCTAAGGAGTGACAATAACATAGGTATAGTGAAATAATTGTCTCTCTGGAATTCTGAGTGATACTGGAAGGGAAAATTGATCAAATACATCTTTCTTCCCCAAAATACACCTGGAAGATCTGTGGGGGAAAAATTACTTTACAGATCATAAATTCCTTGTTTTCAAGCCAGTTCTCTGGAGAACTAATTGATCAAAGATGGTGCCCATAAAG